TGAAGAAGCGCATGGATGATAGAGCAGGGAGAGAGAGAGAAGATGCGCGCGCATCCAGTGTCCACTTTTGGGGAGGGTGTTGATTATCTTTAAGGGAATTTTAAACATCTCTATTGTGAAATGCGCACTGAAGGTAATTTTCTTCGCGCAATGTGTCGCGCAACGAACTGTGACGCTGCTTGCACAGCTAACTAACCGTACCACAAACGCTGTAAATAAAGCTCTGGTAATTTGTGCTACTTCTTGTTCTTGTCAAACTTTATCGACGTACCGCGAAACTGATCGCGCGTGTTATTATGGTTACCCCTTCAAGCAAACGCGACTAATCGTTCGTTTGGATTAGTTCGTTTTAAACGTTTATCATTAATAAAACCCCTTCGAAACATATCCCAGATGGCACTTACGTCTGCAAGATGTCTGTTAAAGATCTCTTCATCTGGAAAGCATCTGCTGTGTACAAACATCTGATGCATTCTAAATCATAAACATCTTAAAGACATCTTCTAAACGTCTATTGGACATCTGATAGGAAACGTCCTATAGATAGATGAACAAACACTCTAAAAACTACATCTTGCAAATGTAAATACAGACGTCAAATAGACGTCTCCTTGATGTACGTGTGCTATCAAGTATACTTGTAATAATAATAAAAAAAGAATTAGCAAAAGTACTTTCACTAATACGCCCCCAACCTTTGCACCCTGGAATCAGAAATAAGTGTTTTAGTCGCATATTTATTATATGGCTCTGCTAAGACAGAGAAAGCGCGTATGCACACGCGCATTCATCAGGCTACCTGTGGTCCGAGCATTGTTTCAGATCATATTACTTTGACCAGCTGCCCCAACAATCCACGCGCGCCCTGACTCTGACCACGAGGCTCATTATCATGCGCCGTTGCCATGGACATGGTGGTCGTGGCTTCATTGAGCTTCTCTCGGGGGCCTCCCAAAGGGGATGCAATCATTCAATAATTACGCAGGGATCCTCTTATTTGCGCCCGTGTGCGTCTGTTTGTGGGTGTGTGCGAGCGTAAGGAAACAGGCGTGGACGTTTGGGAGCTGACGCTTGTCGCGTGCCTGAGCGTATCAAAACACATCTGCTTCGAGGGCTCCAGGGACTGATGCCATTAACCTCCTCAATCCTCCTCAGAAGGCCCACAAAGGGGTAAAAGAGGAGGAGGGGGCAGTAACTATACCCCCTGCTCCATACTTCCATCACCCCCTCACACACACACACACACACACACACACGTTCCCTGAGGACACAAGCTCTCTATGAGCCTTTGTCATGAGCACTATCTTCCAGACAGGCTCAAACAATCTGTTGCAAGATGATTGCTCATTTCCAAACAACGCTGACAACACAGGTGTGTGTGTGTGTGTGTGTTTGGGGCGTATCGCATGCATTCAAGTTCATTTATATGGGATGCTAAAGCTCTCGAGTGTCAAATTGGATGAAACACACGGTGCGTGATGGGACACACTGGGTGTGATTGTAGGTTACAAGAGGCGCAGGTACAGTAATCACCCTCTCCAACACACTTCTGTAACAAAATCGAGTGTTGAATGTCAGCGTCACACCCTCCAAAAGTGACCTGCCCTCAACATAGCCACAGAAAACAGAATAACTAAGTTCAGTTTGTAAGACAAAGCCGGTGGCAGGTGTTGAGTGTGTCGGTGGTAAGATGAAGCTCGTGGGAAGAGCTTCTTCACAAAAGGACTTGTTTTCCATGCACGCACTGATCTGGAGTCAGCGGTCGAAGGCCGTCCTCTGACATCTCATCCATCACTGCTCAACATCAGATATGATTCTAGATCAGGGACTTATACACGCACACCATGATGCCCATGTTTATATTCACCTTTAAACGAACAACTCAATAACTGTTGAAAATCAGCCTCTGTGTTTCTTACGATTGTTTAGTGAGGATTAGTGATGATGGATACTGACCAGGCCAATCAGTCATTTTTTTTGCCAATATAATTAGTAATCAATTAATATAATGAATAATTAATATTGATAACACACACACACAAACACACACACATATATATATATATATATATATATATAGTATAAATATAAAAATACGTTACAATAATAAATCTATATGTGTGTGTGTGTGTGTTATTTTTTTTATTATATTTGTGTATTTTAAAAATAGCAAACTTCATAGTTTATAGTAATGAATATAAAATTGTAAAAATAGAAACTTAATAGTAATAATAATAATAAATATGGTGTAATACAAAAATTGATTTAGGAAATTTTGTGTACATTTAATTTGTCATCATTAATATAATTTTATAAATTAACATTGTAAATAATTATATTAATGTTGATATTTTAAAAATAAAAAACATTATATATTATATACATTTTAAACATATTTTAATGTTTTTTTTAAAAGTCTCTTCTGCTCAACAAGGCTGCATTTATTTGATCAAAAATACAGAAAACAAACAGTAATACTGTGAAATATTATTACAATTTAAAATAATGTTTTTCTATTTTAATAAAATATAATTTATTCCTGTGATCAAAGCTGAATTTTCAGCATACCCGTGGCCTATTCAGTTCACAGGCAGAAATACAAAGGCATGGTTTCTCGAAACTTTAATGAAGACAAAGTCCAGCACGCAATGGAGGCCGTGGCTCTAGAGTGACCTGTGCTCACACACTTTAGACTCTGCAACCATTTATGAGATAATAAGAGAAACTCCAGAGCGACTGTGTGCCATTTATTCAAGTTTATAGAGAATGTAGACTTATTTAATGTGCGAGGGAGGCGTTTAGTGACTTTAATGCTTTATTGATGCTGAATTCTTTGTACGGTGCTCAAACATTACTTTTTATTGAGCCTTGTTGAAACAAATTGTCCAAAAATTATTGTTCAAGGAGTGTGCAGAGACACGTTTGCTTAATTTTGCTTCACCCTTTTCCTACCTTTTGTAAAATATTATGCAACCTAGCAAGTTTACGTGTTACTTACATTTAAATTTGTTCACTGCTAAAGTTAAAAACTGCATTAGTGTATATATATATATACATACATACATACACACACACACACACACACACACATATATATATATATATATGTGTGTGTGTGTAGTGTATATGTTTGTGTTTATGTGCATATATTTAATATTTTTACACACACACACATATCTCTGTTGTCCTGTTGCAGAGACAGATCTGTGTGATAATGCCATTGTGTGGACGAATCTAATGACGCCTGTTGGTGTCATTAAAAGCAGCACGCGGGTCATTAGGAGTGTGTTCAGTTGGTTCCCATGCTCTGAAGCAAAGCCGGACAGCAGGGCTGTGCTTTCACACACACATCATGGCACACGCCTGGTGACTGAGGCACAAAAAAAGTGTGTGACATCGCCGTGCCCTGGCGCCCCTCTGCATCCCCTATGTCTTTTCTCATCCCTCCCCTCCCACCCTCATTCTTCCTTTCTTTCTTTTGGGAATCTCTCTATCCATCCGTCCCTCCCCAGCTTAGAGTCCTGTGTTCCAGCGAGACCCTTCCTCTTCTAATCATTTTCACCCATCAGATGATCCGGCCCCTTATTTCACACTGAGACTATTAAGATAGAGTCCTCCCCCACTACACACACTACCGCAGGTCCTGAGGGAAAGCATTGGAAGCATTGTGTGTGTAGAGACACATCTGCGTCAACACACATGTACACATTCAGACACAGTGACTCTCATATGCCCAGGTCATATTTCACCCCAAAATCTAAAGAAATTTTGATTATATATTTTATGTAATTTGTTTTACATCATATTTTTAATACACAGAGAATGCTGTTTTAGGACCATTATGATTTTTTTTTGCATTGCATTGCATTGCATTATCTTCAAGACAATTAGACAATTCTCATTTACATAACTGAAATAAGTAAATAAATAAAATAATTATCATTGCCATAATGCAACAAAAATATCATTACCATAATGCAATAAGTAAATAAATAAAATAATTATCATTACCATTACCATAATGCAATAAGTAAATAAATAAAATAATTATCATTACCATTACCATAATGCAATAAGTAAATAAATAAAATAATTATCATTACCATTACCATAATGCAATAAGTAAATAAATAAGTAAAATATTTCTTATTACCATAATGTTAAAATAAAATATTTCTCATCACCATAATGCAATAAGTAAATAATTCTCATTATCATAACACAAATCCATTTACATCAGCACATGTTGAGGCCTTCTGGTGGCTGCATGAGCGCACGGGTGGACAGATGGCACCAGCTCATAGCTGCAGATTCACTGAGGAGGAGCTACACGAGCCTGATAAATGGAGAAGAAAAGACGGGCATCAGCTTGCTATTTTTCATCATAATCACGCAAAGTGCTGTGATCGTGAAGTAGATATGAAATCAAAACAGTGTTGTATAATAGGAAAATTCATATCAAATCACTAGTTTTGATAGCGCCATGTAACCATGTTGACACTTTTGAGAGAATTAATGTGCGCATGTCTTTTACCTATTTATTCAGTAGAGTTTAGACCAAAGCCAAGTCTTGGTTGCCCATAGTCACGCACATCCTTGACCTTTCACATCGTTTATCACTTGACCTCATATATTATTCAGGAGATATTTGTGCTTTTGGTGCATCCATCCACCCATCCATCTATGTGGTACTTTTTGGTGTGTTTTAGTGTTTTACTTTTATAAAGCGAAAAGGATTATTTTAGAGGACATTTCTGTGGTTTTCTCCGACTTTTCAGGTCTTTCCTCCAGCTCTGCGACTCGCGGGTCAGTGAAACGCAACGCTGCGCGCATGTGTCGTGCATTAATCCTCTTACTGCAGCAGATGCTCGTCTGTCAATCAACCTGCCGCGTGTGCTCGCGCTCGAACTTGACTTGAGAGCGCGAGAGAGAGAACGAACGCAGCAGGTGCGCAAGGGATTCCGCGCCGTCATTTAGCGATGCAGGAATGGTAAATAAAGCAATTTATTGAACTAATCATGTCTTGACAGCAGCCACGGGCTTGTTTTGAACCACTAAAGTTGCATTTGTTTACTGGAAAACGCAATGCCGTCGCAGGACGAGGCTGAGACGGTAAATGAAGACGACTGTCCGCCTCCGGTTCCGCCGCGAGCGAATCTTCAGCTAAAATCACCTGAGCGCCGGGTCAGGTGTGTGCTGGTCGGGGATGCAGCGGTGGGTAAAACGAGCCTGGTCATCAGCTACACCACTAACGGATATCAGGCGGAATACATTCCCACCGCCTTTGACAACTTCACAGGTAAACTCAAGTATCCATACTGCTTCTAGAAGTACGCACTGAAGTACGCACCTGGTCCCCGTTATATATGTTAACATGTAAAATAAGACCTCTTATGGACTTTTTGACATCTTATACGTGATAAGTTCCTCGGAAATAGTTCATTAATACATTTATCTCAGCTTTCTGTTTGATTTATATTAATACGAATAGATTCATATTTGAGTGTTTCTCTATCTCAGCTAGGGTTGTGGTGGATGGAAGACCAGTTCAACTTCAACTGTGTGACATGGCAGGACAGGTGATCTATCTATCTATCTATCTATCTATCTATCTATCTATCTATCTATCTATCTATCTATCTATCTATCTATCTATCTATCTATCTATCTATCACCAGTTTGTCCTGATGGATAGATGAACTCTTTTTCTCTCTGTGCTTTGAATGGCAGAGATGGGGGGCAGCGGATCAGCCTCTATATGTAAGCAACAGGATATGACGGAAGAGCGCCACCTAGCGTTAGAATGAGATCCTTGTATTCTCTTAGCACAGAGTCCTGTAGATTTTTGGGTGACTGTCACATAGATTGACTCTGTGATGTTCAGTAATAGAACTTACTCATCAGACTGATGAAGTGTCACTGCTATAATTCATCATTTGTCATACTTGCTTGCATATCTTGTGTTATAAATAGAAAAGCACATGCAACTTGCGAGGTTGAAGAAAATTATGCAAGTTGTTGCTGCTCTTCTAATGTATGGTATATATTGCTAAATATAGATTGCAATATTTGAATTATTAAGTAAAATGCAGCAGCTGCCTCACTTTTCTTCCTGTTTTCAGGACGAGTTTGAGCGCCTCCGTCCACTCTGTTACCGTGACGCTGACGTCTTCCTGCTCTGCTACAGTGTGGTCCTTCCATCCTCTTTCAGGAGCGTGATGGACCGCTGGGCCCCTGAGGTTCATCGGCTCTGTCCGGGAGTTCCCATCATCCTCGTGGGCACCCAGTGTGACTTGCGGGAGGATGTCCAGGTGCTGATCAGACTCGCAGATGGCCAGGAGAAACCGGTGAGCAGAGACGAGGCTTGCCTGTGCGCCCGGAGCATCGGCGCCGTGACGTTTGCTGAATGCTCAGCACTGACGCAGAAGAACCTGAAGGAAGTGTTCGACGGTGCCATCTTGGCCAGCATGCGGCACGCGGAGGAGGCGGCGTGGCCGACAATGCACACGCTAAGAGAAAAAACTCCAGATAAAATCAAACAGCTCTCGGAAACATGGTGGAGGAAACTGAGCTGCGTCCAGAGCTTTGACCTTCAGTGACAGAGAATCCAGTTATGCCACACTGGTGGGTTTGAGTTGCCTTTCTCACTACAGTAAGACACTCACAATATAAACAAACCTCCAGATAAAATGGGATTCACAGACAGATTTTTTAATGTGATGCATTTCCAAATTGAACAGTATAACGAGCAGCAATGTAGAACAGGATGTGGATTTACTGCGAAAAGTGTCCGTTATTGCAATTTTATATAAAGTTTACAATAATTGTCTTTGGAATAATGTAGAGTGAATCATGCACAATAATGAAAACGTGCATTAAGAAAATAAATAGGGTCAGTTTTGATTCATGTTGACTAGACATTTTAGATATCATCATGTGACACTGAAGACTGGAATAATAGCTGCTAAAAAATTCAGATTTGCATCACAGAAAAAATTACATTTTAAAATATATTCAAGTAGAAAACAGTTATTTTGAATTGTAAATATATTTTTAAAATTATATATGTATTTTTTTTTTTCTGTCTTAATCGGGACTGAGCTTGAGGACCTCATTTAGCGTCACCTGTTATGTGTTGTGTATACCTGTGACCCAGAAGTGTTTTTGTGTGTCATTTGGCCCGGTACCCTGCATTCATAGCAGTGGATTAGCTGATCCTGTGAACAGACTGAAGATCAAGACTGAAGGAGAGGGATTTGATGTCTGAGTTACACCTGCTGTACTCCTGTATAGTATGATGTTTTGTTTACAACTTCATTTCAACTGTTTACTTCATTTTATGAAGTAAAGTGTTACCATGTTTTCATCTCGTACATTTAAATTAGTTTAGAAGTAGATTTGCATCAGCGAAAATTTACTTTGCCTGCGAGTCTTGTTCTGACGGCTCTGTCAAAGGTCCGTATGGCCCAAAAGCCTTTAATCAGCTCTGATTCATTTACCTCATTGTGGTACACTTTTCCCTCGGCAATCTGGGACTCTCATAGCAGACGTAATTACCGCCATCACAGAATGACAATTACCTGCACAATGACACTTACTGCAGGCTTCAGGTTCTGAGTGGATCTGAATGATGACAACTGAAATAACACGAAACCCTTTAATAGCAGCATTTACAGCCTCTGATATCTGACTCAGAGTTGCTGGCTGATGCTGCTACAATAATGAGATGCATATGTGCAAATATACTTGAACTTAATGTTTTAACCCACATAAAGTTAGTGAGGTTTAAACTCCTGAGCTTCTTCTCAGCGTGTCACTCTCTATCAAGAATATCAAGAACTGAAAAATTGATATTAATGGACCACTAAAATGAATTGCAATATATCTAATGAAGTTAAAACTGTTTTACATTTTTATGCATTTGGCGTCTTATTGCATTCAACATTTATCAGTTCATGCATTCCCTTGAATTTAAAACCATAACCTTGGCTTTGCTAGCACCATGTTTTAATATTTCAGCTACAGAAATGTATAGAGTTGCATGCAATTATTAAATATATAAGTTAAATTAGTGTTTTTTTCAGAAAGAATTTAGAAATTATCAGTTTTTATATCATGATTTATAAGGTGTCATTACCAAACTCTTCAGTATTTGAAGACTATAGCGAGGCGTGCAGATCGGCTCCTGTGCCACTGCTGATCCTGTAATGGGTCGAGACAGAAGCCACCTGTGGGAATTAGGCGGGCAGATGGCGACTGGTTTTCCCCTCACAGGATCTCTTGACCTCAACCCCCACCTGCTGCGGAAATCATGCAAGAATAACATCAGAACAACAGGACTTGAGAGCTGTTCAGTTCACCCCACTGAACCAGGGTGATTTTATCATTAGGACTCACTGAACCGTAGTCTGTATGTTTCTGATAATTCATTTAATAACTGGTATTCGTGGCTGGGGGGATGACAGTCTTAATGAGTGTGAGTTGCATATTTTTGTTTCCAGCAGCCATGATTGGAAACAATATTTTGTCACTTGTCAATAGTGTTAAATCTAAGGATTTAAAGGTGCTGTATGTAGGATTGACACCGAGTGGTTGAACTAGGTATTGCAGTCAAAATTCAAAATATTGGAGAGGGTTTTTTTCACCTGGCCCCTCCTTCTCAGACTTGACGCACACGCAGGTTGCCAGATTGAGGACACCAACAGGAACGAGCGCACTTGACGATGAATGAAATTAAATACGCTCTGTTTTCCTCCCAACTGGCAACCCGGGGTGCTGAAATACAATTGGGTAAACTGGCAGTGGGCGGGTTTCACAAACCAAAACAGAGACCGACATTCCGGCCCAGAACTCACAAATTTTCAAAGGAGAATAACTGACTGTAGCATTGTTTTTCAGATAAACAAGTATGTTAACTTAGCATGTTTCTTAAATATCTGCAAACATATTATGGTATTTTTATGCTTTAGTAGAGTCAAAAACTTACATACAGCACCTTTAATTGTCTGTCTAATAGTGCAGGAAGCAGAGTATTTTTGGAGCTTCACCTGTAGAGAACACTGTCGAGTTACATCGTGAAAATCAGGTGAAGCCAAGAGGTCAAGGTCGTCCAATCTGAAGCATCTACTGTGTGGCTGCTGCTGGGATTTATGCTTTCAGATGTTTTAAGGCACAATGAAGTTCTGAATGTCACTGAAATCAATAAAATATCAAATTAAGTGTCTGTATCGGCTTGTTTTGAAATGCTGCAGAATCCTTTCTCTTCACTAATGTAATTTTTCTTCATCACATTTGCTCCGGGTTTATTCAGCTCATGTGTTTTGGTGGTTTTTAGTGAATGTTAGTTTGCCTCAAGTTCACACGGGTGTTCCTAGCAGATGTACACAAAGTGGCACAATGCAATTTTTTTTACCATTTCAAACATAAATTTGAAATGAATTTGAACATACATTTGTAATGTATTTGTAATATTATTCTAAAATATAATCATATTAATTACATTAATTCGTATTTATATACTATTATAGCATTTATTATTTTTGTCTTTTAGTTTCATCTTTGGTTTCCATATTTTAATTTGAGTAATTTTGTTCTTTTTTTCATTTTCATTAGTTGTTTGTTTTTAATGTTTCTATATATTTATTTCAGTTTTAGTAATTTTAGTTTTATTTTAGCTTTTCTTAGTTGCCAAGGCAACATTTCTCATTTTTAAGTTTTTCTATTTCCCCCAAATATTTATATTTTATTTTAACCACAGTTTTTAATAGTTTTCGTTAATCATAAAAACACTGATCTTAATGTTGATTTTTGTAAAACTTCAAAACAAGCACATGATGACACTGGCGTATCTGCTAAAAACATCTGTTTTGGTTCTGATTATCATGTTTATCGCGCTGAAATCATGCGTTTTAAACCATATTTTCATGTTATGTCACCTTTAAGTAGCAAAAACGGTTTCCAACATTGATAATAAATCAGCATATCAGAATGATTTCTGAAGGATCATGTGACAGCTTTGAGCTTTGAACACAGAAATAAATTATATTTTAAAGTACATTAAAATAGAACACTGTTATTTTAAATTGTAATAATATTTCACAATATTACTGTTTTTTCTGTATTTTTGATCAAATAAATGCAGCCCTGATGAGCAGAAGAGACTTCTTTAAAAAGTAATAAAAATCTCTGTCAGATGTTAGATATTTAGAAGATGTTTTTGACTAAAACTGCTTTTTAAAAGATGTTCATCAGATGTTTGTACACTGATTTCCCGATGAAGCGCTCTTTAACAGACATTCTCCAGACGTATTTGTGTGCTACCTTCACAATCTGCTCTCTTATAAAGCTCCTCGTCCAGTGGTCAACAGAAGCTTCTGCGGGGTGCTGAAGATCAACGTGGACAGGTGTGGTATGGAAACAGCTGCTCGTCTAGTTAATGGTCTTCATCAGCGTCTCCCAGGATCTGCTGAGTAACGGGAAGGAGGTGTGCAAGTGTAACACGAGTGTCTAAAGTTTCATACCTCTGAGTGCTCAGAGCCTTTACCAAACGCAGCCGGCACAGATTCACCAGCTTCTGATGAGAAAACTAGCAACACATGTTAGTTTAGACACATTATACCAGTAAAACAGAACTCTTCTCTGGAGACACACTTTCTGGCACATCTCCTAGTATATATACACACACTCTTTGGTTTTCTGTCCTCGGTATCGTACAGATGTGCAGCTGTCAGTGAGATTAGACTTTTAGCAGGTGTCTATTTGCTGGTTAAACAGGTCACAATGGCACGTCAGCACTTCTGATCATGCTGTTTAACAGCCAATTGAAAACAAAGACATACATCACATCATGACATGATTCAGACCTCTGAGCCCTCTGCTGTCCATCAGCAGGTCCAGACTAAACCTCAGCTGGTCTCAGAGGTGGCCAGGTGATTTGGACCGTGCTGTGGATGCCTGACAGTTCGTGACATATGTGCAAATAAGTGGATGGCTGAAGAAACTCTTCATTAGAAAGCCTATATGTGACCCAGGACCACAAAACCAGTCATAAGGGTCAATTTTTCGAAATTGAGATTTATACATCGTCTGAA